TTTTTTTTTGGAAATAGAACTATCACCCCCCCCCCCCCCCCCCTTTTTTTTTAATTAATATAAAAAAAAGTTAATAAAAAAAAAAAAAATAAAAAAAAAAAAAAAAAAAAAAAAAGAACCTTCCATCCCCCCCCCCCCCCCCCCCCCCCCCCCCCCCAAAGTTGAATATATATTTTTAGCAGTTTCTCCTGTTGTTCAGCCAGTTGAGTTTCACAGTAAAAATCTTGACAATTCAGTTCAGTGAGGAGGAATGTGCACTAAAAACAGATTAGTTGAATTTACTTAACTTAGTTATGTCAATTTATTCTGCTCAACCGAGTTGAATAAATGTAACAAGATTAGAAACGGGTAACACAAGTAAAATCTCTACATTAATGTCGGTTGAGTGGAGCCACTTGACACAACTCTGTTAAATAAATTCAACAAATCGTTTTTTGAGTGTGGAAGAGTGAAGCCTGGGATTATAGTCGGTTAGTGACCCTTTCAAACAGTTTACTGTGGTTATCTGGGTGCCAATTTGAATGATTTGCTGTTTACTTAATTTTATCCCCAGCACAAACAAAACCACGATAAGTTAGGCTGTAAAATGTCCATTAGCTGTATGAAACTACGTCAAGTTTGATTTCCGCCCTCAGCGTGTTACAGTAAAAATAAAATTTAAAAAGGGGTAAAATTCCACCTGCTTCTCAGTCAGTTGTCACTAATAGAAATTTCCTGCTCCTCTGTGGTGATGTGTTTATTTATGTGGACTGTTTGTGTATGAGTAGGTATGCTTTATTCATGTGTTTCTCTTACAAAACAAACCACTCATGTATAGTTAATGTTTCCCCCCTCAGTCCCTTTATAATGCCAAACTTAGCGGAGCCGGAGCGAGAGGAACGACACCTCTGGCTCCAAAGAATATTCTCCTTTCCCTCTTTTTTTATTTTTTTGTTCCTCTTCTCTCCCTCACCACTCGTGCTCTCTGACCCACGATAGTTGTGTGATTTACCCCCGAGAGTAGAGCAGAGCAGCCCTCAATCAGCCTTTTGTTTCTCTGGACACCCTCTCCATAATTTTTCCCAGGCAGAGCAGATAGCGAGCCTGGGTTCAAAGTCTCCTCCCGGCCCGGCCCCCCCTCCGCAGCGGTAGCATTGGGAAACAGGCCCTTATCACCTCCTCCTCTCCAGCTCGGGGAATGGGGTGAGCTTATCTGCTCCACTCCCGTTTCTGCTAAAGTGAGCTGGGCCAGTGGTTTGCCCGAGCACTGCTCTGACCATGACCCACATCCGCTCCCAAACACACCAGCAGTGCTCAGCTCGCATGGCCACACACATGCACACATTCATTTTTAGTTTTTTTATTTTATTTTATTTTTTTCAGATATCTCCGCTCTCTCACACTGAAAATGTGCTTCTATTCTTACTGAGCGTTTTTACATCAACTTCTGTCATATTTTAACCTTCACTCCGTTATTTTATCTTAATTCTGTTCACAGACACATTAACGATGTGTGTTTCTGATGCTTTTGTGGTATTTCCTCCAATGAAAACAGCATTTGGCAGTGTAAATTGGAAGCAGCGGTTGCTATTTAAAGAATCATCCATTAAAAATAGATTTGAATCCACAAGTAGTGCACAGAGCGCAGGGTTAGCTTTAGTTTTTTAACTCGTATTTAAAGATTGTTTACTTTTTTTCAATTCTCCAGATAAAGTAAACGGTTTATTCTTTATTTCCCAGCGGGGGCTGACAGAGGGGACTCACAGGGCATCATGGCTGCTGTTTTTGTGTTTGCTTACTGTAAACACGGCCTAATTTATTGTTTCTTTGAATTAAACCATATACTTCGAATTCACTGCTATTTATCCTTTTGGAAAACTGTGAAACTAAAATTCAAACCATATTCTTGAATTTGGCCGATCTCGTTGCACATTAAACACTGAAGCTGAACAACACGTGCATAATTCAAAAAAGTGTGACCTGAACTCGAGGTGTTAACCATGTTTTAGCAGGAAATTGCTTCTCTGCATGAACTTTATTGATTGATTGTTTTCACTCCCTTTAAATTACCTGTTTTGTTCTGTTATCAGCCTGAAGTAATGGTCTCGTAATTAAAGCAGCATGGAGTCATTAAGTCTGCATCATATTAAAACTGATTTCAACATAATATTTCCCCGTGGATTGAAAAAAAAATACTTGGTAATAAATTAAATTTTAGTTGTTTTTTTT